TAGGTGTGAACTCTGTGAGGTTAGACTTAGTAGAGAGCAGACTGGTGAGAAGAACCCATCACAGCGGCTACTTCAGTCAAAATGGATGACAGATCACAGATTTTGGTGAAACACCGTCTTCATGTTTAAGATGATGAAAAGTGAGAAACACAGTCAGGTATTTTCCAGGTTAGCTCAAGCAGCTAAGGGCGGTCACCAAAACTCAGCCAGCAGATGATTGCAAACTGAAGTATTGCAGGTTTGACACGCCCTCTCTCTCACAGGAATATTTCATGATCACATGATGGACTGATGGCTAACTGCCAGCCTCAGAATGAAAACCGCCGCACAATGGCAGCCCGCTGCTCCCCAGTGGGAGGGGTTCAATTCCCCCATTGTGGGACAATAAAGGGATTTCCATTTATTGTCCACTGAACCAAGCATCGTTCTCTGCTCAGTTCCATGGTGGGTTCTTTAACTAGTCCATCTCTGTTGTTGTGTCTCTTCCTTCTAACTGCAGGAGGAGGAGGAACATCAGGAGCCCTTGCAGTTGAAAACAAACTCTCTCTCTGTGTACCACACCCTTAATACCAGGCATGGAATAAGTTGGCAGAAAGCAAACTGCCTGGAGGCATTTCTAGGAAATGTTATATCATAGAGATCAACAGAGTTCCATTCGTCTCTGCAACCTGTACCCTCTGCAAGACGAGGAAGTCTGTGTGTGGACTGGCTTTGGTACCCGGTGGAGACATTTCCCAGGAGTATGCATCGTTATGGGAACCTGGTCCTCATGAGGACAACATGTCTGGGTGGGTTAAGGGTTAGTTTTTAAAATGTTTGTTAATGAATTAACCTGCCGCCTGATGGCTCCATAAAGTTGACTCGGACACTAAAGTTGTGATACTCAATATTACTACCAAACCAGAGCACCTGCTATGGCTTCCACTGAGACGCGCTCTTGATTTTAGAACGTGCAGAGTAAACTTTTATGATCCAGACAAGCCTGGCCTGTTTGCTATATGCTGTGCTTAGCTAGTGAGCAGCCCAACAACAAGGAGGGTGCTACGAAATGGTAAAAAGGTTTACTTAAGGTCACAGATTAACAGACCTCTCTGCAGCTTCTCTACTGTTACCCACTCTTTACTCCATCCAGACAGTGTCTTGCCCACGACCAAAATCATATAGATTAGAAAAGATTCCTAAAGGATTAAATCATGATAATCTAATTTGAATTAAAATAACTCCAATTGGGGTAAAAGTTAAAACAATTAAATGTGGTCTGTTTAACATAAGATCTCTTTCCTAGAAAAAGTCTGCTAGTTAATGACTTGATTTGTGATAATCACCTTGACTTATGTTGCCTTACAGAAACCTGGCTGCAGCAAGAGGATTATGTGAGCATAAATGAAGCAAGATTTTCTCAAGGTTTTTCTGGGTGACATTCTTGAGAAAGTAGTTGCCAAACAAGTGTGCCATCACTTCCACCATAATGAACTTTTTGAAGAGTTTCAGTCTGGCTTTAGAGCTCATCATAGCACTGAAACAGCTCTGGTGAAAGTCACTAATGATATTCTCATGGCCTCAGATAATGGACTTGTATCTGAGGCCATGAGAATATCATTAGTGACT